TGTAGTTGTGTAGTTGTAGTTGTAGTGTTGTGTAATGTAGTGTAGTGTAGTGGAGCGTAGTCTAGTGGAGTGTAGTGTAGTGTAATGTAGTGTAGTGTAGTGAAGCGAAGCGACATCTGAACCTAAAAAAGGGGCGCGAACATGTGGTGTTTTGTACATTTTGACTTCGAAATGTGCTTCGCGCCACAACGACGTGCACTTTTCCAACATCCGAACCTCCAAAAGTGGCGTGAACATGTGGTGTTTTGTACATTTTGACTTGGAAATGTGCTTCGCGCCACAACGGCGTGCACTTTTTCGACATCTCAACTTCCAAAAGTGGTCCGAGCATGGTGTGTTTTGTACATTTTGACTTGGAAATGTGCTTCGCGCCACAAGGGCGTGCACTTTTTCGACATCGCAACTTCCAAAAGTGGTCCGGACCTGGTGTGTTTTGTACATTTTGACTTCAAAATGTGCTTCGCGCCACAACGGCGTGCACTTTTTTGACATCTCAACTTCCAAAAGTGGTCTGGAGCTGGTGTGTTTTGTACATTTTGACTTGGAAATCTGCTTCGCGCCACAACGGCGTGCAACTTTTCATCACTCATCTGGCCAGCTGGCTCCGCACCCGCCGCTTTAGCGAGCCTACTTTTCGACCCCCCGGAGCCACAAATCATCGGAAAAACACAGTGTTTCGCGACTTTCCTACCTTTTCGCGCATCTGCATCTTCTTTCTTCTGACTCTTTCTCTTCTGATCTTCTCTCTTCTAATCTTTCTCTTCTCTCTGCCTTTGCCCTGCTCTGCTTTTCATCTGTCCATATTGTCGGAAGTTTGACTTCTAAACTTCCTTCGATACTATCCGAAACCTCCAAAAGTGGGCGCACATGCCGGGTTTTGTTACATTTTCACTTCGAAATGTGCTTCGACTCCCCAAAGTGGCGCGAAATGTGGTGTTTTGAACATTTTGATCGAAATGTGCTTCGACCGCCACAACCGGCGTTGCACTTTTCCACATTCCGACCTCCCAAAAGTGGGGCGAAACAGGTGGGGTTGTTGTTTTGTGCATTTTGATTGGGAAATGGGCTTTCGCGCCACAACGGCGTGACTTTTCGGACATCTCAACTTCCAAAAGTGGTCCGGCATGTGGGTGTTGTACATTTGACTGGAAATGTGCTTCGGCCACAACGGCGTGCACTTTTCGAATAGCAAACTTCCAAAAGTGGCCGGACCTGGTGGGTTTTGTACATTTTGACTTGGAAATGTGCTTCGCGCCACAACGGCGTGCACTTTTTTGACATCTCAACTTCCAAAAGTGGTCCGAGCATGGTGTGTTTGTACATTTTGACTTGGAAATGTGCTTCGCGCCACAACGGCGTGCACTTTTTCGACATCGCAACTTCCAAAAGTGGTCCGGACCTGGTGTGTTTTGTACATTTTGACTTCACTTTCCTACCTTTTCGCGCATCTCCATCTTCTTTCTTCTGACTCTTTCTCTTCTGATCTTCTCTCTTCTAATCTTTCTCTTCTCTCTGCCTCTTCCCTGCTCTGCTTTTCATCTGTCCATATTGTCGGAAGTTTAGCTTCTAAACTTCCTTCGATTATGTTGCGTATACAAGTTTTATTATTTGGAATTTATTACGATAACGGTCATTAAAAAGTATTGACTCAAATTTTTTAGTCTGATAACATTACAAGCATCAATACTGATGAGACATCATATGTCGAAACATTCAGTACAGCTGAATGTCTATTGAAGAATTGCACGATCTGAACAGTGCACATAGCAATAAAGCCCTAGATGGCTTGGCTTCGTAAAAGTTCCAACTTTGGAACGCACAGTTCATTAGTATGCTGAAGAACAATACGGCAATCATACACAATAGATCTGGAGTTCCCGCAAACTGCTGATGGACTACTTAGGTGTCCCAAAAACAGCAGCTTGGTAAGGGATGGGTGCCTTGGCTTTGACTTTGGTGATCGTCATCCAGAGGAGCTGCGTGTGTGGTGTCGCAGGGTTCTGAGTTCATTCCACAGTCAAGTTGGCTGGGAGAGAAAAGCTGACAAGGCAAATTGTACAGACACAAGGCCGAGTCAGCTTGCATCTCCAGTGAATGCCAGACCGAGACAGGCGCACTACCAATGGATGCGGTAGAGTCTACCGCAATGCCGATTGAAGACGCTATTAATCATAGCTGAGGGCTGAGCAGTCCCTGTTGGGGCTTTGCTGGTCTTCTATTTAAGTAGTACTGATGAGCTTTTATATAAGCGAAACCAGCAAAGTTACCGATGGTATAATTATTACAGAGAGAATCACTATGCTGAAACATGATGCAACGAATTGGGTGCCAAAGTTTAGTGGAGCAAATGATCTCATTACCCTGCAAAATTACGAAGAGAAAAAAAATCAATTGGGAATGACTGAGTTGCATAATAGGATATGCAATATGAACCCAGAAGATTTTGAGAAACTTGTTAATGGTTTAAGCCAAAAACAACTGTTTGATTTGCAAGGGCCACGTATCGCGGCGCATCGAGGCAGAGGGGTGAATGCCAAACCCATTGGGTGGCCAGAAAATACCTTGGCAGCTGCAAAAGCGGCTATTAAGCAATTTGATGCAAGCGATAAATATGGTGGGCATGCCATAGAATGCGATATACATGTCACAGCAGATGGCTATGCAATTCTAGTACATGGTCCTATTGCAGAGAATTATTGTGTTGTCGATAGCAAACCCAAAGATAGCAAACAAAAATCGAAATAGCAACAAAAATCGGCAAACCCAAAGATAGCAAAGCCAAAGATAAATTAAGATTTGATGAATTAAGCGTTGAGTATGTGCAGCAGTTGACTGGGCTAACAACCCCTTATTCTATACCTGATGGGTATTCTTCTGAAGACTATCGCATACCTACCTTGTATGAATTTCTTGAACTGATTGCGGTGACCAATGCAAATAGAATAAAAAACAATCAATTTCCATTGTTGGCTAACATTGAATTCATGTAATGCTCGATGGTTCCATCAGTTCCATCAGTTCCCGGGATCGTTTCAGAACATTCACAGGTTTTAATCATGTTTTTGGATGCAAAATGGAGTCAAAACACAATGTTTTTTGGGCGCAAAAAGTCTGGCAAATCGTTTAAACAACTTTGAAACACGAACGCAGAAAACCGTGGACACATTTGTGAAGATCCGACACCTTGCAAAAACCTAGAAAAATAGTAAATCATGGACAAATCTTAAAACAATTTGGAACACATGATAAACTGGTTGGTGGTTTGGATCATTTTTTATTTTTCCATTCAATTGGGAATTTCATCATCCCAACTGACGAACTCCATCATTTTTCAGAGGGGTAGGTATACCACCAACCAGATTATTAACCATCATTAACCATATAATAACCATATAATAACCATATAATAACCATATAAGAACCATATAAGAACCATATAATAACCATATAAGAACCATATAATAACCATATAAGAACCACATGGAAACACCATAGTCTTTGAATGTCTACCGACAATGGATGGTCGGCTCTGAGGCGCCTTCGCCCGGTGGCACCACCCGTGTTCCCGACGCGGGCGAAGCGGGCGAAGCGGGCGAGGAATCCAGCGATTGAGAAGGGGGGTCCATTAGAGGCGCGTGCAGGGGAACATCCATGAAATCATATGAAATCCCATATCGAAAAGACAATGGAAAAAAATCATCTATTTTTTTAAAAGAATATACTGGATATATTATGATATATTGGGAATGTAAATAGTGAGAGTAGACATTTTTTCTTTGGGAATCTTGGAGGTGTTTTATCGCAGCGTCACTGATTTATGATGATTGACATATGGGGGAATCATCCCAAAATGGCCGTAAAATTCAGCTACTTTCAGGTTTGTGAATTATGATTAATATAATTCAGCCAGATTTATGGATATAGGCATGATCATCGCCCAAAAAAGTGTGTCGGGATAGAAACCCAACAACTCTAGTGACATAAACATGGAGATCAACTGCGATAGACTGATTAAGCCAAGAAAAAAGGAGATTCAATCACCAAGAATTGGCGATTAGTACGATGTTTTTTAGCATACGAATTGTTTCTATTGGTTTGCCCAGAAATGGGATATGGGCCCCAGATATACGGGGCCCATTTGATGGGGAAATGCTTTTCTAAACCATTGGATTGTATCAGTCCTCCAGTCCTCGAACGTACCACAAATGAACCAGTCAAGAACTAGATACTTCTGGCATATATCTGATCTAGTAGTTGATTACAGTGCTTACATACCTGGTACCAGGAGTTACTGCTATAGTTGTACCTGCTATATACCATCTATAGGAGTAACTCCCGGTGGAACAAGACCAGGAGTGGAGTGCCCAAGCCACTTGCATTCCGTGCATCTTTGGGAAAACAAAGAAACGCAAAAATTGGTACAAAAATTGGTACATATTGCGATAACATATCCATATGGTGATATAATCATGAACATGAGTATGCAATCATTTACAACGTAATTTTGTGGAATGCCCGGTTATCCAAAATACGGGCAGACGATCATTCCACATGGATACTTTAGCCCCACTGGGGATGGAGCGATCAGAAGCCATGAGAGCAAGCATCATCGACAAACCGTGCCATAGGTCTACCATAGGTTTTCATGGCCGAATATCAGCAAGCAATAGAAAAACACCAGGTAAGTCAGAGTTCTGCGACTTGGACCCCGCCAGTCGTGGCAGACGACTGCAGTCGCGCAAGCCGCACGCCTTTTGCGTCTCCACGAGACAGCTTGTATGGTCAAGGGTGATTGGCACATGAAGGATATTTCAGGGGGTCAACTCGTCAATTCCTGGAAAAACCATCAAACCTGCATTCATTATTGACAAATTTTTGGTGGAAAGTGCCTTGTTTTTTGGACATGAACTTCAGTTTTGTGAAGGGCCGGATGTATGGAATACACAACCCATTTGGCGTTGAAAAGCGATGGGTGTAATCAGTAGTTCTGTTACAATTTTGTTTCTCCTCCTTTCTTTCTTTGCCTTGTCCTTACGTTCTTCCCTTTTTCTTTCCCTTTTTCATCATAATTGTCTTAGTCCTCTTTCTATTCCGTGTCACCTTTGTTTTTCCTGTTTCGAGTTTCTTCAGTTTTTTTCTCTTCTCTTCTTCCTTTTCTTCTTATAGTCTATTTGTCCTTTACCTTTTCCACTATCCTTTCTTTTCTCTTTCTCCCTTTTCTGGGTCCCTTTTCTTTTACATTAATTATATATATACGTATTTATGATTGTCTATGTATGTTTCCTTGTTCCATTAGATTTTTCCTCTTACTTGTTGTCTTCATTGTTTACCATGCACAGTCGTTTTCTTACCCTTCTCTTTGTTGATCTATTTTCCTTGCCTTGTGCTTTCCATTTCTAGAAGGGTTGCCTCTTCTTAGCCCCATTTTCTTTCTTATCCCTCACATGTTCTTCTTCAGTGTGCAAATTTGGAAGAAACAAAGACAGAACCGCAAAACCACAAAGAGAAGAACCGGAGACTTTAAACTTGTACATCCTCTTCCTCCCTTGTTCCTTTTCCACGGTTCTTTTTCCCTTTCTTTTCCCTGTTCCACTTCAACCTGTCTCTTTCTAGCTTTAACAAAGTCTGGGCTCTGAAACATGCCTGAAACTATTCTTAAACATGAAGGAGTAGCATACACCCAGCACCTCCCCTTCCTACGATTAGAAGAAATCAGAAGGGAACAAATAACAAGAACTGTTCTGTGATGAAAGAAAAGAAGGACATGCTGACATACATATTCGTGCTATTGAAAGCTTTTCAATGGAAAGAGAGAGGTAGTATTGGGTAGCCAAGTCCTGTTCTTGCGAGCTCCATTTGTTGCGAGGTGCTCAAAGCTGTTGTTGGCGATACCAGATTATGCAACCACAGTTGTTCATGAAGTTTGTAGTTGGCGAAACATTTCGAGAAAGGATTTTTGCATAAACGCCTGGTTTTAAATCTTGAAATATGCCAACACATTAAACGGTAGAACGTATTCCTAGCTGTTCTATTGTGATTTGACCATGCCTCAAAGTAATGTCCCCTACCGTTTTTTTTTTGGATGCCTTGATGCATTAATTTGGACGATTTATAATGACCTACCTCATTGCGACGTCATTGCAAATGATGGTTAGAGTTAGTAGCGTAACGGGAAGCCAGAAAAGAGAAGTGAAGCTGGCCTGCCCATGAAACAAAAGAGTGCCGAAATGGAGAATCTGTGTTGAAAGAAAAACGGAATCAAGGATGCGCACAGAAGACATGTTCTACTCTTTTGTTTTTTTTGGCCCCATTTTGCTGTCCATCAATCAGCTTAAAAAGGTTTGCAATAGAGCAATAATAACATGGAGGAAAATCAATTCCACTCTGGACAGACAAGCATCCACTATCATCCACTAGGCTTCTCGGCGCGATTATTTTTTAATATCTTAGGCATTTTGAACCTGATACATCAGTTGTATAGCAAGTACTACCCCCTTATGTTATATAAACAAGCAGAGGGACATGGTCAGTCTCATATTTGTTGGCAAGTGCAAGCTGTGCATTTTGGGAGGCGCGGCTGATTGCTTAGGTATCTCCTGACTGTGCAGAGGATTTGCCTGTTCTTTTTGCTGGCAAGCAACGACGATTTGACGGTGCATCCACCAAAACGCATACTCAGACTCAACACGGGGATGCAAGTGATGTGTGACAAGCAAGAAAAGTCCAGGTATTTGGGATTTGTTCAAAATTTCGGACCCTAAATTTGGATAGTCCAATAGGCAAAAGCTAGTTTAACCCCATGTTTGGGCCAGGACAATTCAGCATAATGCGGATCCAGCGTCGCTTGGGCACTTGCCGAAGCTGAAATGGATGGTTTTCGTTGTTTGCCAACAAAAAGTCATGTTTCTGAACCGGTCACTTCTGTACAGTTCTGTGCGCAAACGGCCGGATAAAAAGACATTCTACAATATTCTAGATGTGCAGTACCAGGGTCAAACATCCTGTGAAGGGCTGTGACATATATAATTTACTTTGCAAATAACAAACTGCAATTCAAAGTGCTACTCTTTAGAATATCACCATAATTATATCCAATTATTCTTTTCTCTGAATTTTATTAAAAAAATGAATTCTGCACCATATGAATTTCAAGATGTCTTAAAAATATATTCTGCGGTACACCCATGGTTTCGGTTCGGTTCGGTTTTGGTTTCTAGTATTTGCTATAGGCCCGGTTCGGTTCATGTTCGGTTTCGGTTCCTGCGGTTCCTGGTCGACTTCGGTTCGGTTCGGTGTTTGGAACATTCTGCATTGATATTTGCTTTTTCCCGAGAGCGTCTGAGCGCAGGGTTCTTCCAATAGTGGGGGTCTGTATCTCATCTTCTCATCTTCACACCTTCTCATCTTCACATCTTCTCTCACACCTTCTCATCTTCACATCTTCTCTCACACCTTCTCATCTTCACATCTTCTCTCACACCTTCTCATCTTCACATCTTCTCTCACCCCTTCTCATCTTCACACCTTCTCATCTTCACATCTTCTCTCACACCTTCTCATCTTCACATCTTCTCTCACACCTTCTCATCTTCACATCTTCTCTCACACCTTCTCATCTTCACATCTTCTCTCCCACCTTCTCATCTTCACATCTTCTCTCACACCTTCTCATCTTCACATCTTCTCTCACACCTTCTCATCTTCACATCTTCTCTCACACCTTCTCATCTTCACATCTTCTCTCCCACCTCTCTCACACCTTCTCATCTTCACATCTTCTCTCACACCTTCTCATCTTCACATCTTCTCTCACACCTTCTCATCTTCACATCTTCTCTCCCACCTTCTCATCTTCACATCTTCTCTCACACCTTCTCATCTTCACATCTTCTCTCACACCTTCTCATCTTCACATCTTCTCTCACACCTTCTCATCTTCACATCTTCTCTCACACCCTCTCATCTTCACATCTTCTCTCACACCCTTCTCATCTTCACACCTTCTCTCACACCTTCTCATCTTCACATCTTCTCTCTCTCTCATTCTCTCTCCTTTCTCTCTCTCCTTTCTCTCTCCTTTTTCTCTCTCTCGCCTTCTTTTTATCTTTCTCTCTTAAGGCCGAAGGTGGTGCCGGCGGCGAGTCACGAAACGTCAACCCTTTCGCACGAAATGAGGGTCAATCGTCAAAAACTGGGGAAAAATTGCGATTTTACTTGTCCCGGAGCAACCCTTTCGCACGAAATGAGGGTCGATCGTCAAAAACTGAGGTAAAAGTGCGATTTTACTTGTCCCGGAGCAACCCTTTCGCACGAAATGAGGGTCGATCGTCAAAAACTGAGGTAAAAGTGCGATTTTACTTGTCCCGGAGCAACCCTTTCGCACGAAATGAGGGTCGATCGTCAAAAACTGAGGAAAAATTGCGATTTTACTTGTCCTGGAGCAACCCTTTCGCACGAAATGAGGGTCGATCGTCAAAAACTGAAGAAAAATTGCGATTTTACTTGTCCTGGAGCAACCCTTTCGCACGAAATGAGGGTCGATCGTCAAAAACTGAGGAAAAATTGCGAGTTTACTTGTGCTAAAACAACCCTTTCGCACGAAATGAGGGTCGATCGTCAAAAACTGAGGAAAAATTGCGATTTTACTTGTGCTAAAACAACCCTTTCGCACGAAATGAGGGTCGATCGTCAAAAACTGAGGAAAAATTGCGATTTTTACTTGTGTGTAAAAGCTTCTGTGTGTAAAAGCGTCTGTGTGTAAAAGCGTCTGTGTGTAAAAGCGTCTGTGTGTCAAAGCGTCTGTGTGTAAAAGCGTCTGTGTGTAAAAGCCTCTGTGTGTAAAAGTGTTTGTGTGTAAAAGTGTTTGTGTGTAAAAGCCTCTGTGTGTAAAAGCGTCTGTGTGTCAAAGCGTCTGTGTGTAAAAGCGTCTGTGTGTAAAAGCGTCTGTGTGTAAAAGACTGTGTGCAAAAGCGTCTGTGTGTGAAAGCGTCTGTGTGTCAAAGCGTCTGTGTGTAAAAGCGTCTGTGTGTAAAAGCGTTTGTGTGTAAAAGTGTTTGTGTGTAAAAGCCTCTGTGTGTAAAAGCGTCTGTGTGTTAAAGCGTCTGTGTGTAAAAGCGTCTGTGCGTAAAGTAAAAGCGTCTGTGTGTAAAAGTCCTGTGTGTAAAAGTGTTTGTGTGTCAAAGCGTCTGTGTGTAAAAGCGTCTGTGTGTAAAAGTGTCTGTGTGTAAAAGCGTCTGTGTGTAAAAGCGTCTGTGTGTAAAAGCGTCTGTGTGTAAAAGTCTCTGCGGGTAAAAGCCTCTGTGTGTAAAAGTCTCTGTGTGTGAAAGAGCCTGTGTGTAAAAAGCGTCTGTGTGTAAAAGCGTCTGTGTGTAAAAGCGTCTGTGTGTAAAAGCGTCTGTGTGCAAAAGCGTCTGTGTGTAAAAGGCTCTGTGTGTAAAAGCGTTTGTGTGTGTAAAAGTCTCTGTGTGTAAAAGGCTCTGTGTGTAAAAGCCTCTGTGTGCAAAATCGTCTGTGTGTAAAAGCGTCTGTGTGAAAAAGTCTCTGTGTGTAAAAGTCTCTGTGTGTAAAAGTCTCTGTGTGCAAAAGCGTCTGTGTGTAAAAGCGTCTGTGTGTAAAAGGCTCTGTGTGTAAAAGCGTCTGTGTGTAAAAGTGTCTGTGTGTAAAAGAGCCTATGTGTAACAAGCGTCTGTGTGTAAAAGCGTCTGTGTGTAAAAGCTTCTGTGTGTAAAAGCTTCTGTGTGTAAAAGCGTCTGTGTGTAAAAGCGTCTGTGTGTAAAAGCCTCTGTGTGTAAAGGAGTCTGTGTGTAAAAGCTTCTGTGTGTAAAAGCGTCTGTGTGTAAAAGCGTCTGTGTGTAAAAGCGTCTGTGTGTAAAAGCGTCTGTGTGTAAAAGCGTCTGTGTGTAAAAGTCTCTGTGTGCAAAAGCGTCTGTGTGTAAAAGCGTCTGTGTGTAAAAGCGTCTGTGTGTAAAAGCGTCTGTGTGTAAAAGCGTCTATGTGTAAAAGCGTCTGTGTGTAAAAGCGTCTGTGTGTAAAAGCGTCTGTGTGTAAAAGCGTCTGTGTGTAAAAGCTTCTGTGTGTAAAAGCTTCTGTGTGTAAAAGCGTCTGTGTGTGTAAAAGTCTCTGTGTGTAAAAGTGTTTGTGTGTAAAAGTGTTTGTGTGCAAAATCGTCTGTGTGTAAAAGCGTCTGTGTGTAAAAGTCTCTGTGTGCAGAAGTCTCTGTGTGTAAAAGTCTCTGTGTGCAAAAGCGTCTGTCTGTAAAAAGTTCTGTTTATGAAAAACTTTACAAAAATACGATGCAAACTATTGTCTTGTACTAGTCATATATTGTCTTGATACTACTCTTCTCGTCTGCCTATAATACATCTTTAATATAGTGTCTCCATACTAACAACAGAAGACTCTGCTCCTCTACGCTCTCGGGCCATCCGTCGTCTAGTTTTTCCGGCGTCGGAAAAGCAAATACAGATTGCTTCCCGCAAGAGGTTTCATGAGCAGCGGCTTTCAAAGAGCGGAGAGAGCTGAACTCGGAAAACCAAAGCTGCCTGAAATTGTGAGTGCATGCAATTTATTATGAAGAAACTTTTATAGAATGGGCTAGCGCCCTGGTGCCGCCGACCCCTCCTTGACTCCTTAATGGGGGGGTTGGTAACATGCGCATGTTCCCCGCAGCCGTCGTTATTATGGATCGAAAGTCCCTGGCCGCGAAAAGCAGGAACAGCAGGGCTTGGTGGAAGCTGCCGCGACGGATTTGAAGCATTTTAGGGGTTTTAAGGGTTTGGAGCCTGGCAAACGGCAGGCTTGAACGCCCTAAGAACAGAGGGCTATGTGCAAGCAAACGGCAGGCTGCAGCGCTGGAACAGCAGAGGCTTACTTACGGCCATAAGGCTTGGTGGCAGCTGCCGGGAGGCGCCCTAGGCATGGACGCCCTAACAACAGAGGGCTATGCAGGCAAACGGCAGGTTCCAACGCTGGAACAGCAAAGGCTCACAGCAGGGCTTGGTGGAAGCTGCCGCGACGGATTTGAAGCATTTTAGGGGTTTTAAGGGTTTGGAGCCTGGCAAACGGCAGGCTTGAACGCCCTAAGAACAGAGGGCTATGTGCAAGCAAACGGCAGGCTGCAGCGCTGGAACAGCAGAGGCTTACTTACGGCCATAAGGCTTGGTGGCAGCTGCCGGGAGGCGCCCTAGGCATGGACGCCCTAACAACAGAGGGCTATGCAGGCAAACGGCAGGTTCCAACGCTGGAACAGCAAAGGCTCACAGCAGGGCTTGGTGGAAGCTGCCGCGACGGATTTGGAGCATTTTAGGGGTTTTAAGGGTTTGGAGCCTGGCAACAGCAGGCTTGAACGCCCTAAGAACAGAGGGCTATGTGCAGGCAAACGGCAGGGTGCAGCGCTGGAGCAAAGGCTCACAGCAGGGCTTGGTGGAAGCTGCCTCGAAGGTTTTGGAGGGTTTTAGAGGTTTGAAAGGTTTGAACGCTGGCAAACGCCAGGTGGAAGTGGCCACGAAGGATGTGGAGGGTTTTAGAGGTTTGAAAGGTTTGAAGGCTGGCAAACGGCACGCTATTTAAAGCTTTGAAGGCTGGCAAGCAGCAGGCATGGACGCCTTAACAACAGAGGGCAATGGAGGCAAACGGCAGGCAAACGGCAAGCTGATCGAAGCTGCCG